CTATAGGGCCGCAGTGCTCACCAGACAGACAGAGAGAGACAGAGAGACAGAAAGCGAGAAACCTTTTTTTATTTTTTTGAGGAGGGTTGTTTTATATATTTATTTATTTATTTTTTGCTATAGAGCGGCAGCACTCGCCAGACAGACAGAGACAGAGAGACAGAAAGCGAGAAACCTTCTTTTTTTGGGGAGAGGTGTTTTTTTTTTTTTTTTGCTATAGGGCGCGAGCGCTTGCCAGACAGAGACAGAGAGATAGAAAGCGAGAAATCACCCCCCCAGGAGGGATGGCCACATTTTTTCTCCTCCACTCTCCTCTCGGGATCTTGGGCACGCACACGCGCCTGGCGTGAGCTTTTTAAGCCACCGGGTCCGAGACGTGAACTGCGGCCGACCACGTGGGAGTCCAGCGACATAGCCATTATGCTAACTGCTGGTCCCAATAAAATACTTCTAAAAAGTTATTAATTTTTGTCCTCTACAGCCATCTATACTTTAAAAACTCGTCCCAGACCTCTGAGGGAGCACTGACAGAGTGAGTCCCCAGGGCGCTAACAAAGAGCACCTAATGGCTGAGCTTGCGCTCCCTGCGCCCGACCCTAGGTTTGGCGTATCCACCGAGAAGCACTCCACCCCCACCAACACGCACCGGAGAGCCCTGATAGAGCGCAGAAGGGTTTGGCCCCCACGGCACTGAGTGCGCCTAGTAGGAGTCCCCCTATCAGGATAAACGGACTAGAAGAAAAGCCTCTACCTCATAGCTGAGGTTAGAGCACCCAAGGAAAAGCGCCTTGCCGTCCCGGATCAACTCAACCCAGGCAGTCTCCCACCCGGCAGTCCCCCAAAGGCTGAGAAAAAGCCCCAAGGGAGAGAAAGCCAAAGAGCAGAGATAATGCTCCCGAGAAAGAGACAGCACTCCGGGGCAGACGTGGCGCATCTGTGGGAGAGTAGAGTTTCCCCTCGAAGGGCTAAGAGAGAGCCCAAGAAACATGGCCACTCCGAGAACTGAGCTAAGCACCCAGAAAGAGCCGCTCACCGCCGAAGCCCGGGTCCTCACCAGACTGACACAGAACACTAGGGAAAGCCACCTCACTCCCCACAACATAGCCGAAATGGGAGCCCAAGGACACATTCCCAGCCCCTCCGCTCCTAGCACCCAGGAAAGAGACACCGTCCAAAGCTAAAGTCAAGCACCCAAGAAAAGAAAGGTATTTCCACCCATTTATCCTGACCGTGTTGAAACACGGTCGAAACACAAAACACCAGTACCGTTGAGGTGGCGCCTTCCCACCGGTGGAACGTCCTAGAAATCGGCCCTTTGGGAGACGCTGGCAATGTGCGTCCTGCGACGTCTGGATTCGCCTCACAAAATGGCCTCACCCAACAATGTAACTATTAAAATTTTGCCTGCTGGGAGTTGCTGAGAATGCACGCCCTAGGACCCCTGGGGTGTGTCATGCCATAGCATGCACTGAAGAAGCCTGGTGCCCAGCAGCACCAACTGTGCCCGCCCACCACAGACGGGACGCAGGCATTCTCTTTCACCATCGCTGGTACGCTGGACAGACACATTTTAGTGTCAGCTGCCACATGAAAAAAATATTCAAAGAACCGGATCCTTTTTCAACGAGCAGGCAAAAAGGGTGATTCTGGAGTTGCCAGACCATAGTCAGTAACCAGCAGGCACACTATCTTAATAGAAGACACAGAAAGCTACACAATCATGCTAATCTATACAGAAAACATTTGTGACAAAGGTCTACAACTATTCTTGAAGAAAAATTAAAAGCATTAGGGGGCAGGGTCCGCACATTCGGAGGTGGTGAAGGCACTGGACTCCCACATGGCCAACTGCACCAGGCAGCTTGAAAATCATGCTGTGTGTGTGTGCGCGTGGTGTCCAAACTCCCAGGAGGATAATGAAGGAGCAGGGCTTGGGGCATGGCCATCTTCCTTGGGGGACAATTTCTTACTTTCCCTCTCACTGTCTGTCTGTCTCCAGCAAGCACACGCACCCTATATCAGAAACCAAAAAAGCATTTGTTATGAAGGTATCTATCAAAAACCTATAGCATGCATTATTCGTAGTGACAAAAAGTAGACATGTTTCTTAGAAACTTAAAACAAGAGTACGCACTATCATCCCTTCTAGTTAACCCTGCACTACAGGAATCCCCAGCTTCCCCTGATTGCAGTGGATGGGCTGTTTACACAAAGCATACTGTAAGGCAGTTTAAGGAGAAGCTCTGAGAATGATCCTTTTCAGGGAGTTTGAGGGCACGTCAAATAGTGACAATTGTCTGGGAATAGAGATTTTAGGGAAGCTCTGCCCAGTTGTTTTCTCCAGTGGCTGGTAAGATGCTGGTGTTTGGGAACCAGCAGTTAGTGTAATGGCTATGTCGCTGGACTCCCACGTAGTCGACCGCGGTTCGAGTCCCGGACCAGGTGGCTTAAACTCACGCTGGGCGCGTGTGCGTGCGTGCCCAAGATCCCGAGAGGAGAATGGAGGAGAAGGGATTACGGCGTGACCATCCCCCCTAGGGGGGTGATTTCTCTCTTTCTGTCTCTATGTCTCTCTCTGTCTGTCTCGCGAGCGCACACGTCCTATAGTGAAAACCTCTCAAAAAAAAAAAAAAGATGCTGGTGTTCAAGGATATTTAAGAAGTTGTTGGTTTCAAGATTACCAGGGAACTGCAAAGAGGGGAGTGGGGACAAAGCAAGTTAAAACTCCATGGGCCAGCAAGTGGCACAGAGGTTAAGGCAGCCAGATCCCCATATGGCTGACTGTGCAGTTCAAATCCCAGATCCAGAAGTGTGAAAATCATGCCAGGTGCACATGCATGTGTGTCCAAAATCCCAAGAGGAGAATGGAGAAGGGATTGTGATGCGGCCATCCTCCCTGGGTGGTGATTTCTCAATTTCTCTCTCTTCTTATAGTGCTCTCTCTCTCTCTCTCTCTCTCTCTCTCTGTCTCTCTCCTGCACGCACATGCACCCTATGGTAAACTACAAACAAAACAAACCTCCACAAAGCTTGCTGTTCTTTTTGTGATTTAGCTGTTTTCTTTTCTCTCTCTTTTTTTTTTTAAATAATTATTTTATTTACCTTTATATATATTTAATTTTACCAGAGAGGGACAGAACAAGAACAAGAGTGAGAGAGACAGAAAATATGAGAGGAAAAATGAGAAAACAAGCTGCCAGGTCTGGGACTCAGACCACAGTCAGCCATGTGGGAGACTAGAGACCTTAACACCACACCACTGGCCAGCCCCTTAGTTTTCTTTTTCCTTTTGGCCATAGGGCACTCTCTGGAGAGAGGCACAGAGAGGGTCAGTGAGAATTCACCCCATGGGGAGGGATGGTCACACATAATCCCTTTTTATCCATTATCCTCTCAGGATTTTAGGCATATATGCACATGCACTTGATGTGATTTTCAAGCCTTCAGGTCCAGGACTTAAACCATGGTGGCCCATGTGGGAATCCAGCACCCCAACCACCACATCACCTGCTGGCTCCATATGTATTTTTTATTCTTTTTTTAAATTAAATTTTATTTATTTTCTATCATTATGCATCTCTATAGCTCACATTAAGTTTTTTCAAAGTATGAATTTAGTATGTGACAATCAGATCAAGATATTACCATGTACATAATTTTCAACTGAACTTCACATGTTTGTGGTTTCTTTTTGTGTGTGTGTGTTTTTAGAGGTTTTTTTGCTATAGGGCGCATGCGCTCGCCAGAGAGACAGAGAGAGATAGAGAGACAGAAAGCGAGAAATCACCGTCCAGGGGCGATGGCCACGCCGCAATCCCTTCTCCTTCATTCTCCTCTCGGGATCTTGGGCACGCACGCACATGCATGCGGTGTGAGTTTAAGCCACTGGGTCCGGGACTCGAACCATGGTCAACTACATGGGAGTCCAGTGACATAGCCATTACGCCAACTGCTGGTCCCGAATGTCATATGTTTTTGTCTGTTATGTGTTTCTTCTCTTTGATTCTCCCACCTACTTTGAACCCACCCCCCACTCCCACCCCTCCACCCCCAATCTCTGGTACCTGCACTTATCTTCCCTACTACCATATCTTTGGGTCTTTCCATTTCCACCGTAGAGTGCAGACATTTGGTATATAGTGAGTGGGGATATACAGCGAAAGACTGGCTCACTTTACAAAAATGTTCTGCTTTTAAAAGGTTCATGTATGTAGGTTAGGCCCACCCAGAGAAGTTTCCAATATTTAGGTTAACAGCTAGTAACCTTAATTGCACCTACCAAATCATGTTTATTATGTTATATAACATAAACAGGAGGTGAAGTCCATGGGGATCTGTTTAGAACTCTGTCAAGTATAGACAGAGAAGGTTATGTAGCAGGAGTAGGGCCCACAGACTTTTCAGCTACTCCTTCATGGAACTTCCTTTCTACCTTAAGACCTACTTAAGTTTGATCTTGCACATACTACTTCCATTTGATAATGTGCTCTTTTTGTGCACACCCATTGCTGTGACTTGCTGGGCCAGAAGACACCCAGGACAGGCAGATCAGGTGATATCATAACTTGGAGTCCATGGTCAAACACTAAGTATAAATATAGGTTTAGAAGCAAACCAACTGGGGCCAGCAGGTGGCATGCTGGTTAAGGTGCTGGACACTCCCACATGGCCGACTGCAATTTGAGCCCCAAACCTGGTGGCTGGTTTCCTCACTTTCCCTCTCTCTCTCTGTGTCTCTCTCTGGTCAAATTAAATAAATAAATGAATAAATAGAATTAAATAAATAATTCTCTAAAAAAATAAAGAAACATACAAAATATTTCTCAAAGGACCAGAATGACATTTGTGTCTCCAGGAAACTAGTGTCACTTCAAAGCAGGGTTTCTGTGATCATAGATTAATTGGATTATTTATCTTTTTCTCAAAGCACTGTCACTCTAGAACATGGATACAGGTCCCTCTGGGTAGGAATGGGAGAGAGGTTAATAGTACGCACTGTTGTGTATTACACAGTTCTTCCTTAGGAGGCCCCCACTTTGTTCATCAGGTTTTATGTCTGTAAACTAAGTCAAACATGGGATTTCATTGAATCACAGTCCCTCAATTCTCATGGAGCTAAGGAAGAATTTATCTGACCTCTCCATTCACTGCCTTATCTTTTAACATAGGATATAGTAACTTTATTTTTCAGTATTTGACATAGAGGATATTAAAACCAAGGTATGAATCAGGTAACAAAAGAATGAACAAGACTTAAGAAAAATATAGGACTTTAGCTCCCTCTTTGGAGAAGGTTAGTGCTTCTTGGTTGTAGTTGCTAGGCAGAATTATGACTTTCCACCTTTAGGGCCAGTCCCATATCACAGTGGTTAAGTGGTATACATAGGGAGCCAGATCCCACATGGCTGACCGCAGTTCAAATCCTGCTCCTGGTGACTTAAAAAAACATGCTGGGAGCGTGTATGTGCATATTCCAAATCCTAATGGGATGGAGAAGTAGAAGAAAAAGAATTGCAGTGTGGTCACGTCCCATTGGGGAGCTCTCTCTGTCTTTCTCTCTCTGGCAAGCATTTGCACCCTCTGGAATTAAAAAAAAATGTGCCTTTCAATATTTATAATCAAGTGCTATGAAAGATAAATTTTGGGTCAGCAGGAGGCATGATGGTTAAGATGGCTGGGTCCCGCATGGCTGATTGCCCAGTTTGAATTCCGGACCTGGTGGCTTGAAAAACACACTAGGGGTGTGTGTGTGTGTGTGTGTGTTGTATGTGTGTGTGTGTGTGTGTGTGTGTATGTGTGTGTGTGTGTGTATGTGTGTGAGTGTGTGTTTGCATGCCCAAAATCTCAAGAGGACAATGCAGAGACAAGAATGTGGTGTGACCATTTCCCCTGGGGAGTGATCTCTCTCTCTCTCTCTCTCATGCCCTATAGCAAAATAAAATAAAATAAAATCCCATGACAGTAATATTCTGGTGTTTGACTAATCAGAAGACTGGAATCTTGGAGGGGCATAATTCGAATCCTGCCTACCACACAAGTCAAAAGTGGACAGCTTCAGTACTGCAGTCCCAACTAGGATGAGTGTACATCATTCACAGCCTGTGTCCCACTTCATAGCTAAATAGTCAGGAACTTTATAGATACACAATTGAAAGTTTGTGACAAGGAGGTCTAAAAAGATGTATGAGGGGACCAGCAGATAGGGTAATGGTTATGTTACTGGACTCCCACATAATCAACCATGGTTCAAGTCCTGGACCTGGTGGCTTAAAACTCTTGCCAGGCACATGTGCGTGTGTACCCAAAATCCCAAGAGGAGAATGGAGGAGAAGGGATTGTGGTATAGGCATGC